TGATTGGTCATGGTCTGATTGGGCTTGGTGGTGACATAGTATAGGAATCAGTATGAGATTTCCAACACCAACTGGTACTAACTCAATCTTGAGAAATGTAAATCATGATTCTGCTTAGGCAAATCCAAGCATAGAACCAGTTCAAATATCATAGGGAAGCATGGACACTCATCTTGTGGCATAATACAGGCAGCCATCAAATCTAGTGCTGTATGTAACAAGAGACAGAGGCATGATCAAGATTTTGCTGTGCACACATTGCCAGGGTTTCTTTTTTTTTTTTTTCAATTTTTAAAAAAGATTTTATGTATTCAATTGAGACAATGAGATACAGAGAAAGAGAGAGAGAGAGAGAGAGAGAGAGAGAGAGAGAATGAGTAGGGGGAGAGGCAGAGGCAGAAACAGGCTCCCGGCTGAGTCGGGAGCTGGATGTGGGGCTTGATCCCAGGACCTGGACGAAGATCACGACCCAAGCCGAACGCAGACACTTAACTATCTGAGCCACTCAGGCGCCCCACTGCCAGGGTTTCTAAGTAGTGGGACTGTTTGCTTGTAAAATCTGCATGTCATTTGGGATTTTGATCTCCATAACATTCTCGTGAATTTGATTAAGTGGTATTTTGGAGTGGGTCCTTTTGGAATGGAGATGTCTGTTTACCAAAGCATACTTTATGTAACTTACAATTCCATGACACCCTACAGAAATAATTCTTCCAAAATAGATCCAAGTTGGCTGTTATCCTGCCTTCCTGTACTGCCTGCTATTTAATACTCTGTCAGCACACAAACACAGCTTCCTCTGGTGATCTGGAAGTTTGTTTTTGTAAAAAGTCCCTGATACAGTCATACTTCCTGTAATGATTTGATTTAATACAACATCCTTAATCTTAAGATTTGATTACAGATGAAAGAATATAGTTAAATTATAGCGAATGAAAAAATCACTCCTTTGAACTCCCCTCCAATCACCTTCTTGGAAGCTTTTTACTTTTTCCATAATATTAAGGACATTTGCAGTAATAACAATAAGAGTAATGATAAACTAAGAGGTCACATTTCCTAACTCAGAGTCAACAACTTCTGATTTTTTTTAATAGGTACTTGACCATCAATTGTGGTAGCTTCCTTGGAGTCTAATTTTGAATGGGTTCTACTTTTACTTGAATAATTTTTGAGGGGTGAAATTGGGTATCTTCAGGGCATCGGAATGCCTGGATACTAGATACAGTTTGGCCTTGAATGAAGATAAGATCCTGGTGAAGTATAGTTACACCGTCATGAGATGGCAAGGTGTGAAGCAAAAGCTTGGTGATGGACTTTTCAGTTGATTTCTCCATCTTTGGCTTTGCCCACTCACTAGTCATTGGGAATCCACCCTAACCATTGACCTGATTCTCTGGCTGGGGGTTGGAAACCAGGACTCTTGTACACCATGTGGCAGGAGACTTTGAACCCACATTCTAGGCCTTTCCCTGATAGACATCCTCAAAGAACATGCTATTTTGCACTGTATGGAATGTATCAGAGGCCCTCCGTGTTTTGCTGAAATTTACTTTTACTAATGGGGCAAGCCAAGGAAATATTTTTCTGGAATACTCCTTTTATTGCTGGTTGTATGAAAAATGTTGCTTCCAAATGAAGGGATATTTGTTTGTTGTTCTTCTAGAGCTGGGCATAGCTTGGGATGATGTGAATACTCTCTACAGGACTGTCAGATTTAGCAAACAAATATACAAGACATTTAGTTAAATTTGAAATATTTTTCTAATTGGCTGTGCAATTTTGTAAATTTTCTAAGAAAAAAATGAATATAGAACATTTATAGCATCTTAATACAGGATGCTGGACAAAAATTAAATACAAGACATATCCTATAGATACAGCATGTCCGACATTCCTCACTCTGGTATTATCAACCCATTATATGGCTTTTACCTACACATATGACATCTTTGACTTTTGTGCTTCTATATCAATTATATCCTTTGACTTCTACAATCAATTAGTGTAATTTAATTAGGAATTAACTATCAACTGCAATTAGCTGTTTGTTGGTTTTCTATTTCTTATACACTGGCAACATAGCAACTGAAAAATAAAAATCCCTATCCCCAAATTCTGGCCATCTAAATGCCCCCAAATTACTAATTTGAGTTAATTTTTTTTAATCCACAGGATAATTTGACTTGTTAGAGTAGATGACAAAGATGAAGAAAAGCCAGTGAAGCACACATTAAGTAGAAAGGAAATTGAACTCAGAAGAATTGACAGAGGATAAAGATGAAGTGGCTGAAGTCTTATTTCTGCTTCCTGTTTCTTTCTCATTAAGTATTTAGTGGAAAACTTCAGGAAACGGGATCCCTGGGTGGCGCAGCGGTTTGGCGCCTGTCTTTGGCCCAGGGCGCGATCCTGGAGACCAGGGATCGAATCCCACATCGGGCTCCTGGTGCATGGAGCCTGCTTCTCCCTCTGCCTATGTCTCTGCCTCTCTCTCTCTCTCTCTCTCTCTGTGTGACTATCATAAATAAATAAAAATTTAAAAAAAATCCATCAGTATTTCTTAAAGGCTGGGGATTGCTGTCCATAGGCCCAAGGAAGGATGAGCAGCCGATTCTGATTAAAAATAACCTGAGGTTCACAGAGGGTTAAATGTAGGTAGTTAATCAATTACGAATGAAATGTTAAACTTTTACACTTTCAGGTGTGTCTTCCCAGAGGAAGAAAATGAAGTGCATCTTGGACCTATCTGGAGTTAAATGCTGGAATTCAAGTGCAAACCACAGAATATGGAAATCAGGACTTGAAATGCTAATATTTCATTTAAAAAATACCATCTCAGAAAGCTTTGATAAAATAACCTGCATTCAAAATGATGTGTTTCAAATGCTTAACAGGCAAAGAAAAGTCTAGCAAGAAGGAAAAACCAAGATTGAGAGGCTCGCAGTATTCATTATGCCAGAGCGTCAAATGTCTTACCCTTTGACTATAGTGACAAAATACAGAACTGAGCCCAAAGGTGGGGATAATTCTTTACTCAGCTACCAATGCAAAGGCCTAGTGCCTTCTTTGCTTTTCACCTCTCTTTCCTTGTTTCTCGAGGTGATATGATATGAGGATCCAAGTAAGGGAGAAAGAATCACATAGGAGTAGAAGTGTCACTTATTTATATATCTTAATTTACATTCAATGGTATCAAAATCAGTATCAATTAAAATTGAAAATTCAAAGAAAAATCAAATGAATAATTGTTTACAGTGATCTCAATATCTGCTCCACTTATTCATAGCATTTTTCACTTTTAGCCAGTTATTTTACATTTCCGGAGTCTCATCTAGTGCTATAATTTTCCCGAGTGAGAAAAGGAACTAATGTGTGACTCCAACCCGATTCCAAAGATGACTCCTTGGGAGGATCAATGAGTGAATCTTGGCTATGCTGTCTGGGACCGTTGGCTACCAGGTACCATGCACGTACAATATATATTCTTACTGAAATTAGACACAGCTTTCAGATTACACTGATTTGCTGTTATTTACTTTGTGATTTTTCAAATGGAACATGACATATTTGAATGGTCTCACTGAGAAGGCCTAATGTATTGGAAATGTTTCAAAATACAAAAGACTTCTTGGGCCAACAACATTCCATTAGTTTGATTATTTCTTAGTTGGGTATTGAGCTTGAATCTGTCTCAGTCAAAAGACTGTTTAGATATAATGAAATAAGTTTGCCACCTACATCTTTTGCTAGTATGTTAACACCAGAGTTTTGTGTAGAAAGTAATAATAAGTAGGGAATGCTAACTTTCTTTCTTTCTTTCTTTCTTTCTTTCTTTCTTTCTTTCTTTCTTTCTTTCTTCTTCTTTTTTTTTGGAATGCTAACTTTCAAACCAGATACAAGTTTAAAACTATTTACAGGATATTCTATTACAATACAATTTATTGACTTGTACAAGTATTGGCTTTTAAGATTTTTAAGATACTGCATATTTGTCTTGTGTATAGTGCAAAAGATCAAATGATCAAGTCCTCCAGATTGGCTGAAATAGATATGCTAAATGAACAAACAAAAGACTTCTCCATCTCATGCTACATCACTGTACCAAATACAATGAAGTATGCAAGTTTCCTAATCTTGATCACATTCAAATTAGCATTGATGTAAATCCTGTGTAAAGAATTTAATAGTGCAACAGAAAACCTGTAAACATGCCTGTGGCATTATTTTCCTGTCGATTATAGCACAATAGACAATAAAAAAACCACACATAATGACTAAAGGGCTAATGTCTAACTAAACTAACATAATTTCTTTAGAAGAATGAAGATCTAAAACAATCTGCCATTAAATTATTAACAGAAAGAGAGAAAATATTCCTGAATAATAAAGAAAAAGCCTCTTGTGCATTGAAATTGCCCTTTAAACCTCTAGAACTAACTTTACCGCTGTTCTTCTTACATCTGTGTTAGATGTTTGGCTCCAGGTCAGAGATTTCAGCCACATCTTCTCTCCCATGGAAGGACATTTGAAAATGTGGTAGCATAAAGATATGACTACATTTGCTATAATCCATAGCATCATTTCACTGATCACCTGAATCTGGATTACTTTCTCCTTTTCTCTGAGCCCTGGTTTCTTCATTTTTGTGGAATAAAACATATGTGAGCATATTTGTCGAGGACTTGCTTTCTTAACTGCAAATGTCTTTCACTGATAATTTCCACAATTATGCTTGAAAAGCTAGAATGTGCATGGATGTGTGTGTGTGCGTGTGTGTGTCTGTGTGTACATGTATGTGGGCTCACGTGTATATCTATACGGTGCCTACCCACTTACAGTCACATTTTTCTTGAGTGAGTAAAAAAGTCTGTCCTGGTTTGAATGAAATGAGAATTCACCTTTTGCACGTTTAACCAGTCCCAGCCCATGTATATTCTTTGCCTCAAAGAAATACATGGCCCCTAAGTTCTGCCAAGAGTAAAATGTTACCCTTGTACCACTCAGTTGCATGAGATTTATTTAAATATTGAAGGCATTCTTTACATGTCATCATATCATCCAATCCCATTCATGCTTCAAAGAGTCATCTGTATGTGAATTCATTATCCTCGGCTCTTCTTGTTCCTCATGGCCCCATCCAACCTTGTAGGCTTCAACATCTGAGCAAATTTCTGATTGAAATGCAGCTTCATTTTTCTTTTGTGCTAACTGTAGTCAACATGCATATGCTTAGCATGAGTGAGGCAACCATTATTCTCAAGTGATTTTTTTTTATTTTGGAATATCAGTGGCAGTTCCTTAGTGGACAATTTTAACAGACAAGGAACAAAATGGCTGATAAGAATATTGGCCCATAATAATAAGCTGAAGAAAGAAGGACAGGTCTGGAGACGATGTGGGTTTGGGACCCACGGCGTGCTATGGCTTTAGAAAGTTCCCCTGAAATTTTTCCATCTTTTAGGCTTTCTTTAGTATACAAATCACTTGGAGATCTCGTGAAGATACAGACTATTTCTCGATGTCTGGCTGGGGCCACAGAGTCTATATTGCTAATAAGCTCCTGGACGGTGCTGATACTGCTGGTTTGTGAGCTACATTTTGAATAGAAAATGACTAGTACATTCCAACAAAAAAATTACTGTGAACAAAGGAGTCAACTCCATTTGTATATGTTTCACAGTCCTTAATACCTGATTGGTTCTATTTCACTCTGCACAATTAAATCCATTGCAAAGAGGTAAGAATGGAATTATTATTTTTGTGAGCACAGAGTCCCCTTGACTCCATTACCTGATAGCCTCCATTAAATATAACATTTTCTCTGCCTAAAAAGAGGGTGTTATAAAGCAATGGTATAAAGGGATACTGAACCACATTTCAACTCTTGGCCATAACGTCTTTGATACTTGTTTAGAATAAATACCTTGCGTTATTGCTGATATCCTGTGTAGAAATGCATTTCCTTTCAACAGCAGCATTGCTAACTGTCCACCCAGCCCGACATGATTTCAGTTGCCCTACACCAAATTTTTGGAAATACAGCCCCATCTTAGAAAATATGAATTTTGAGAGTTTGCTTCAGACAAAGCATGTTGAAAAGGAACCTTCTCAAACACAGAAACGCTTGCTCAGGTGCCAGGGAAAAAAGTGGATTTTGTATGTCTGTGCAGTGTTTTAGAGTGAATCCACACATTTCCATTCTCGTGGTGACCTTTGCGTTCGAAAGGAGCTCAGAGGTGGAAATAGCTCACAGAGTCAAACCAGGGGTGGCTGCCGCCATCAGACATTGCTCTGTTGTAACAGAAGAGTTCTCAGTTCCCTTTCCCTCTGATCCTCCTGCCTGTACTTCTCTTCCAGTTTCTGCTTCTCAGTATCTGCGCAGTAAAAGGTGCAATCTGGGCTCTTCCGGATTTGTTCAAACTGGCTGAAATCAGCCACATACTTTCCATTTTTTGAGAGAGAAACCACAGGCACAAACTCGAAGCCCCAGTAGATCTCTTCTGGGATATAAGATGTGCGACTCTGGCAGACTGCGCTGGTGGATTCCACGGTGGCGTTGAGGAGGACCACGAGTTCAAACTCCTTCTCCTTCAGGTTCTGGGGTGTGAGATCTCTCAGGGGGCTCGTCTCATCCAATACGTGGTAGAATGTCATGGGCAAGATGAGGAAGGGGCTCTCAGAAGAGGAGTCCACATGGAATTTGACAGTGGCTTGGTTGAGCAGAATCCGCTCCCCCTCCTTGGTGACATGGGTCTGGAGGAGCTTGCCTGAGAGCTGGCACTGAATCAGGAGGCTCTTCCTCATGTTCGCCACCTGGATCACCAAACACAGCTTCCCATTCTGCTTGGTAATGACAGCACAGTGGCTGAACTTGATGGTCTCTGCCCGCTTTTTGGGTCTGGCAATCTTGGCCAGAAAGGTGCCCGTGATGAAGATCTCAATCAGGGTCGTAATGACCAGCTGAGCAACCAATAAAAAAATGGCATGAGGGCATTCTTCAGTGATGGAGCGGACTCCATAGCCAATGGTAGTCTGGGATTCCAGAGAAAACAGAAATGCTCCAGTGAGAGAGTCCACTTTCATGATGCAGGGGGTGTGATTTGAAACATCCTCACTTGGTTCTAAATCCCCATGAATAAAAGCAATGGCATAGTAGATCACTCCAAAAAGGAACCAGGTCATCACGAATGTGGCGGCAAACAGGGTGAGCTTATATCTCCACTTCATGTCAATGACAGTTGTCCACAAGTCTTGAAGGTAGAGTAAGTATATGCCATCCACTTTGTCAATTCTCACATTGCTGTGCCCACTCTTGGACATGACTCGGGGCCGGTTGGCTTTGAGCCCAGCTCCTGCCGTGTGCTTCACCAGGGGAGCACTGGACATGCTGATGTGAATGGCATCCATCGTCAGGCAATTGCGACCACCTAAGGAAATGGCAAAGAAAGATGTTCCGGTACTGTCACATGTAGTAGAACAACCAGAAAACAGAAATATGATAATCAAATGAAGTATGTAGGAATGTATATAGATCTATATAAGAAAGGTGGATTTGCAGGCAAGACTAGTCTACCAGTACTTAAGGAAGACAGTAGGGTGGAGTGAGGAGCATAACTCTGGAGATCAGCAAACCTGGGCTAAATGCCAACTGTCCAATTTATTTGCTGTGTGACCTTGCACGAGCTATTTAAGTTCTCTGGATTTCAGCTTCTTGATCTGCAAAATGGGGATATAACCTACTCCTCAGGTTTTTGTGATGGTTAAATGAAATAATGCCTAGAAAGTGCCAAAACAAAGACTTACACTCAAAAATGATGCCAGTTTTTCTCATTATAAAATCACCCTCACATGCATCTACCCCACTGAGTATTATGAATATTTATGTATAGTTAGTTAGCACAAATTTCCAATTCTAGAAAATTTAAAAATAAGTTGACTGAGCATAGGGTCAGCACTCATACAACTAAAATGCACCATCTATAAGATAGTTTTAATATAGCAGTAGAGAATATTAATACATATTTTAAAAACTGGTAATATTAATAAAATATTTTAAAAACTTACCCTTTTGTGTGGCATTCTCTGCAGCAGAAATGCATCCCCCCCAATCCAATGAATACTTTAGAATTGATGACCTCTCCTAGTTCATGATTATATTGGAAAGGACTAAGTCATCAACCAACCAACAACAAACACGTAGTGAATAATTATGCTTCATTAATAGCTTGGTTAATATGCTAATTATCAAAATGTCATATTAGGTATGACATTTAGGTATGGCACAAAATTTTTGCCTTATTCCTTTAGAATTAACCAGAACCAACATAGGAATCTCTTGTAAAAAGCTATAGAACAAGTAGGCAAGTACAGGCATCTGACATTGTGGAAGAAGAGATCCACCTAGGAGATGGACCAGGTTTCCAAGCTGAGTCCCCGGGAATGCTTCCCTGTGCATCAACAGACAGGAACAAGCTGAGTGTGAGGCCATACAGCATCTTACACTACCTGCCTGGCAACTGAAATAAATCATCCTATATTCCTTGAAACAGACAATGGGAGTAATTACAGGGTAACACTACCTGGTTGGCATGTGGGGTTTTTTCCACCTCATTGGTATTTTAAGGATAAAGGAAAAAAATCCCCCCTTTAAAAAGGAACTGGATACAGTGGTCTGTGATTCATGCAATAATCTTCGCTGTTAGGGCAGCATTATCTCAACAGAAGTTTTGGAAGTAATCTTCTGGGCAAATCCTTTCAAGGAAACTGAAACCATCCATCAGAAACTAACACTTGTTGAAGATGCAGGGATTTGTGCTTTTTAATTTTCCTGTTATATTAAGAGCGTGTCATTTACTGAATAACCCTTGAAATGATTTTTTTTTCTTGGAAAGAAAAGTTGCTTTTTCATTTTCATTGCAAAGAAGGGCCCTAAGCTATTCAGAATTTATTTTTCTTTTTGAAGCCTATTCCACTTATGTAGAGATTAATTTAGGAGAAAAATACAGGATATAACTGAAGAACATAGGCTTTATCAGCCCCTCAGCAGCATTTTTCCGTAACCAAGAGGAAAGTGACCACCACGAAAACTTGGGAACAAAACAACATGCCACCATGCCCAAAAGCATAGTCAAGCTCAGAACGTGAGCATCGCCCAAAGCAAATGAAGTTTATGTACAAGTAAATGCATGCACTTTTTAAAAAGGGAAAGAGAGAGAGAGAGAGAGAGAGAGAAACTGCTAAGGGAAAGTGCATGCCATTCAATCCACTGAAATAAAAACAAAGGCTTAAGTTTTCAAGTGTGAGTGACACACGAGTGTCCTGCGGGCACGAGCGAAGCTCCAAGCTCAGCTGTCTGCCAGATTCTGGAAAACTTGGCCCTGTTTACATGAAGGCAGTGCCATGAAGCTTCTGTTTTAACCTCTCTTTAAAAGAGGCAATGGGCCAGGCTTCAGATGAGCTGGATCTTTTCCCTCTTTCTGCTGAAAGCTCTCTTGTTACATTTCTGCACATCTAGTGTTGGAGGTAATGACACCAATAGCTATTCAAGATTGATGGCCTTAAAAGGGGGAACAAGACTTAGAGCCTCTGGGGAGGAGATTCTTGGTTTTAGCATCTCTCTGTGGAAAAGAGTGGCTGGTAGACCACACTCAAAGGGTAAGCACCTTTTCCCTCCCTCTCAACACCCTGTGCCCTCAGACTGTTTAATACCTGGTCACTCCCTCAGCAGGTCAGAAGGCGTCTTCTTCAAGGCAGATGGGACGTCCTCGCTCCCCTTCACCCACCTGGCTACCATGGGATTCTGCTTCTGCCTGAAAGAAAGAGGGACACACAGGTGTTTACAAAGAGACTGACCCAGTGAAACTGACCCTTCACGATTCCCCCCAGGGCTAGGGCCCTAGCATTCACCTTCCAATCCCTGATAATCTGGCACGGTGCCCAGAATAGACCAAAGGCTCAAGGAATGTTTTAAGAATTAAATTGAAGCCCCAACCACAGCTCTCCCCATAGAATTCCCACCCTCTGGAGGGAGCTCAATAGTAAAACACCCTGGAAAGAGTGGGTTAACTCACCCCCATTGAGGCCCACTATCAACTGACCAGCAAACAGGGAGGCAGGAAGGGGAAGTGCAGAGGAAGTAAACAGTGAGCATTGGAAGGGAAGAGTCTAGAATATTTTTACCGCCTGTGGAAATGCATTATTACTGTTGAGTCACAGAACATCAGAGCTGAAAAGATTGTCAAACCCAAGGCATCTGACACACATTTTTCAAACACGGAGATAGAGCCGGGAGGTTGGAGTGACAGGTCTTCAGCACACAGATGGTTCATGGCAGAAAGAACAAGGTCCAAAGTCTTTAAAAGCTTGACCGGAGTTCTTGTCAGTACACCACAAATGCCTCTTCAGCCTCCAGAGTTTAATGTAATCTATTCTAAATTCAGAAGGCTCTTTCACCTCCTACTTTCCTGGAATACTTTTTACTAAGATATATATCTGTAGATCTATCCACATTTTTGTCTGTCTTACACACAGGGGTATACATATCCTTCACACTTGCCTTCTGATTTACCAATTATTGTAAATGTGCTCTCTCTTCATGCCCGTGGCCCCAGTTATCAACCTGGATAGCCTCTCATGCACTCGATTCCCCCAGTGTGTTTGCAGTGTTTGGCAAACCATCTCTTCATCACTGATCTATTACCTGTAATGATCATCTGTGAAGATCCAGCATCTCTTTCTTTGCACCCATAAATCTTACCAGTATCCTTTTTCATTTATACTTCATCATATGCTCTGAATTTTCAGTATTATATTCTGCAGCAGACTTCCTTCATGAAGTCTACCTCATTGTTTATACACATTCTCATTTCATAAAATTTTGTGTCACTTTCTTAGGTATGTTTTTCTTTACTGATTGTGCTATTTATCTGGCTTCACTTCTAAAATGTTAAGAAATAGCAGCAGTTTCTTAAAGCTCAAGATGGAAAGAACAATAAAAGATATTCTCCTCTAAATTCCCTTCTCCTAATCCCACAAATAAGGAATATTCCATACAAGTCATTATAGTTTTCTTTAGTCTCTGGAAATTGTATTTATTTCTCCAGTTTTCATTATATTGTTCCAGCATGTGGGGTGGGATTGTAATCTTAGAACTGTGATATCTTTATTGAAGTCAAGTCCTTGAAACTACTGAATAAAGAGGTCAACATTCCTTTCCTACTTTAAGCCAATAACACACACATAGAATGAAGTCATTTATTGCCTATGCAGTGGAGCATTTGTTTTCTGGAGATAAAGGAAAGAAAAACATATTTTTGAAATAGAACTAAACAGTAGGCACATTGAAAATGGTATTTAGCTATATGAAGAACTACACTTCCAGTCTTGGGAGCAAAACAATGAGAATGGAAAAATGAAATATAGTTCCCAACATTTCCTCAGAGAGGACAAAATTCTATCAAATAGAGAGCATCTTATAAGAATGAATGATCAAAGAAGTTAGCCACACTGAGCTGGAATACTCATCCTATTAGAGAGAATCAATCTATAAATGACCAGAAATCCACTGACCAACGAGAAGAAATATGCATGCAACTAATAAGCCTTAATAAAGTCAGAATAGAGTCAGAAGTGGTCCAATGTGGGAAAGATGCGGATGAATAATAACAATGACAATTATAAAATATAAGATTCAGATAAATTATATTCTGAATAAAGTCAGAATAGAGTCAGAAGTGGTCCAATGTGGGAAAGATGCGGATGAATAATAACAATGACAAATATAAAATAAAGATTCAGATAAATTATCATCATCATCATCATCATCATCATCATCATCATCATCAATAGATAACACTATATAGTGCTGTGTGCCAGCCATTGTTCTCCATTCTTTCCATGCATGAACTTAATTAACCCTCATACCAACCCTATGAGGCAAGTGCTGTCATTATCCCCATGAGGAGGAAATAGGGAGGTTAAGCAACAGAGGTTAAGCAACTCACCCAAGTTCTCAACAGCTGGCATGTGGCAGTAGTGCCCCTGTGAAGCTCCCATGCCTACCCTCTCCGCCACCTTGACAAAGGTGCTCAAGCTTTAGCTGCATCGGAATCACCTGGAAGTGTTAGAGTTTCTGATTTCAGTAGGTTTGGGATGGAGTTTCTGATTTCAGTAGGTTTGGGATGTACAAGAATTTGTACATCTAACAAGCTCACAGGTGATGCTCCAGGAACACACGTTGGAAACTTCCACAGCATGATATACAGCTCAAATGATATCAACAGCTTTTCTGCTCTTGATGGAGAGCCTTATCCCCTCACTTTCACTGAGAATTCTAAAATAACACTGTTGCACATAAGCACTGGAAACATCTGGTTGTTAGTTTTCAGAAATGTCCAATCTCCACCATACTCATGGATGAATGCCAACTACCTAGTGAGCCAGTGATAAGTACTGATTTTTAAAGCATTAAAGAATGATTTTCCCCTACTAATTAGTACAACACTGATTCCTTCTAAAAACTTGCTCTGTTAAGTCAAATGTGAAGTTTTCAATGTGCCCATCCTGACAAAAACTTCATTCTGGGTTCCTCAGTGGGCAGAAAAATAACTAACTTTCACCTGCAGAAAAATAACGAATAACAAAATAGGGAGACAGCAGAGTTCCTCAGCCAAAGCTTAAGTGATGTGATTCCATGTACCTTTAAAGGGGGTGGGGTGGCATGAAGTAATGAAATCCAAATCAAATCATAATTTTGGATTTCCAGATGAAAATTGCAGTTTGAGAGGATCTGACTTAAAAGCTCTATCAAAGCAGCTTTCTGTTTGTAGGGAAAGTTGCTTAAAAAGCTTCCTTGGACATCAAATATTTCTAACAAAACAGTTTTTGGATGATATGTCTCGTAGCTATGAATCCAAAATACCTAGATTAAATTTCACTTTAAGGTTTGGGTTTAGCTAGTAAGTAGAAAAAGAAATGCTTGACAAGCATGTACTTGGGGTTCACTGAACTCAAAAGCTTTAAAAATAATTGAAAATAAAATCAGTGAGGCTTGGCTATCCTTTCTTTGGATCCTGTAACTATGGTCACACAAATACATGTGCTGGGACCTTTGGGTCTGGCCTCATGCCATATTCTTCCCTGCACTTCAAAGCAGTCTAGGACTCGCTTCAGTGGCTGATCTGACTGTTCTTAACGTAATTGTTGACTCCATCCATGTCAGCTGAGGACACAGTTGACCTTGTCCAGGTGGCCTCAGAAATGGGCATCTCTGCAGAAAAAGAAGAAGGTGGATGAAGTTGACTCTTAGCAGATTCCAAAGGGTTGTTCTTTGACTCTTATTTCCTGGGGAAATGATTATTTTCTTCTGCAAATCCATTTTTCCCATCAAGCCATTGAGGACTGGGGAAGGCTGGAAGGAATGATAGCTTCCAGGAAGCTGTGGAATTGGCCATTCTTCTCCATAAGAATCTTAAGGATCTGAGAGGAAATACCAGTTGAGATGATAGGAAACTTGCAACTAAGTTTCCTCTATCTTGATCTATATTTTGAGGCTAAGAACTAGGATCCTAATTGACAAATCTAGGGTCATTGTTGGTTGTTGTAGCTGATTGTGGCTTCCAGTTATTTGCTGCGCCTCTCTGCTGGGTCCATCTATAAGGAACTCTTCCTTAGGCCTCTCTCTAGGGGTTGGGGGATAGAGAATCTGTTTTCATCCTTTAGTGTCAGATGTGGCCAAGTGACTGTGTTGGCCAATGGGGTGTGAGCCGCAGTGACTCCCCCATGCTTCAATAGAGGCATCAGACTCATGTTGGGGTCTCAGATAGTCTCAGATGGGCTGCTCCTTCCTCTGAGGAATGGGAGGAGGGAGGCACCTCCAGCTGAGCCAAAGCTGACTTGCAACACAAGTGACAAATGACTCTGGTTGCTTAAGCCACTGGATTCTTAGAAGTGATTGTTACTGAGGCAAAATCTAGTGAAAGCCTGACCACAAGGACAGCCCTACTACATGTTTTTGTGTTTTAGGATTATAGGCCTGACCTAAAGGATACAGTATTTTAAAGAAAATATGGAAAGTCTTGAAATATCCCTAATGTAAACTCTGAATGTTGGTCTATGACTAAACAATGAATCAAAAAAGAAACCCAAATCTAACAAGATTCAAGTAGGCACAAAGATTTGCCTGATCTCAAGGACAACATAGAAGGGTGAATAAATTCTCATATAAATTGTTTCTAAATCAATATTTAAGCTTATCTTGACAAGTTTTCTGGATGAGGTAGAAGGGCCTTAGATGTTATCACTCTAATATTCTGTTGAACAAGACACCCTTAGTTAAGGTAGCCTCATAATCTGTAATGAGAGACACACATTATCGTTATACCACTGGCAGCTTTCATTTGGGAAGAGGGTACTTAAAAAGGACCAGGCACTTTCCAAAGCAATTACAGACAATATAGTATTTCACCCTTCTCTTTACCTTGCGAAGAAAGTATTTTCTCTATTTTCCAAATGAGGAAACGAAGTTTAGACAGATGAGATAATTTACACATATTCATAAAACTAATCCATGGAGGACCTTGTTGGCAGACCAGATCTGTCTCCGTAGCTGTGTTCCTATCTAGCCACTGAGCTCCTCAGTCGTCAAATTCAGCTCAGAAGGAATGTTTCTATTCATGATGAACTTTGATGCAGCATAAGGTAAGTCCCTGCTCACTACATGTTAGTATCCATTACAGAATAAATAGCTATATTTGATTTATTGTTTTTTTTGATTTATTGTTTTTTTTAATTGAAGTTTGATTTGCCAATGTATACCAACCACTACTCATTCCATCAAGTGCTCTCCTCAGTGCCCGTCACCCAGTGACTTATTGTTGATAGCATGCCAGACCTTATAGAAGTGCCATATAGCAATTTAATTTTCACATCAATTCTGAAAGAGGTACTGTTATTGTTCAAGGATTCTAGATTAGGAAACTATGAGACAGCACAAGGTTTGCTTGAGCCTATATCCATTTTCTCTCGTCTCGAAACCATGACTTCTCTAACCTCAGAGGGCATCAGAATCACCCAGAGGCCTTGAAACATGCTGGGTCAGAGTTTCTGATTCAGTAGGTCCAGAGTGGAGTCTGAGAATCTGCATTTCTAATGAGTTCCCAGGTGATGCTGACCTGCTGGTATTGAGACCGCACTTTGAGAGCATGATTTGCACCATGCACCGCTTAATGAATTATATATGAACTATATAAAATACGTAAGAAATTCACAAGCACATAAATCGGATCATCTCAAAGTTCAGTCTCATTACTTTCAAACAAAAGAATGGGCCCTTTGATGTAAGAAAGAAGAGAAAGTTGATGGGGTTAAATATATAAGTATGGTAGATGCCCCCTAGGGTATTCAATTGCCAGGAGAAGCATCCTAGGGGATAGAAGTTCAAGTATATTATCCTGGGGAAATAAAAGGGAAATTTTGGTGAAAAGGAAATCAATTTTGGTTGAAAATTGCCTGAAAGTTTCTTCCTTAGATGGAGGGTATCATCCTGGAGTGGATTTCAGGGTTCACTGGCCAGGAATGTCAGAGGCCAGAAGAGTGAACCTGGACTCCATGGCTGAGTGAGCGGGGGCTGAAGGGTCTTAGCCGTCCCTTGTTAGATCTTCCCCCAAGTGTGTGGTGCAGGCATTCCACAAATAAAGGGATTTGTACTCAGATAATTTTGGGAAGCTTTGCTTCCAAACATCCAAACGGTTCCTGGTCTGCACCCATTGGAGATTGACATCTCATGGTTGTCTATTACAGGGTCTGAGATATCTGGCATTTCTATAACATTTGAGAACACTTTAAAGAGTGCTGATCCAGTTTAAACTCTGCAATTTATATCTGGGGGAAAAGAGGATCAAAAAGTTGCATGACTTGTTCAAGGTCGCTGAGACTGTGGCAGGATTAGGGGAGGAAGCAAGGCTTTGTGCCTCTCAATTTGTCTGACAGGCAGGTTTCTGTGTTTATTGTCACAAAATATCTTGAGATGAGCTACCCATCTCACTGGATACTGACTACAGGGTGGCATAGAAGAGGGCAAACCCGTCCCCCCAACAACTGCAGCATCCGTACCACTTGAAAGCTCATTTGAAATGCCAATTCTTAAGTTTCACACTTCAGCTACTGAATCAGAAGCTCTGCAGGTGCTGCCCAAAACCTGTGTCTTAAAAAGAACCCAACTTCCCAAGGGATTATGTGGCCAGAGTTTGTCAGCGATGGCTTGGTGGGTTGGCGAGCTCTTTCCTTTGGAAACCAACAAGTACTCCTTTAAAGACAAATCCCACATTTTGCATTGCATGTGAGCATCTGATGATCCAATTTGCCTCTGCGGTCAAACATTTAGCCCTTTCCCTATGTTTCCATTCCATTATTATTGTTTCAAATTCCATAAGTACTAAAAAAATCCTTTTCCATCTCTAAATGTGGTTTGCATAGTTATACCCTTTATTCCTCAATGCAGATTCTTTAAAAAAAATTTTTTTTTCATTCTGTAGCACATCAACCTTTCTCTACTCGGCAAAAACAAGTTTAAACAGACACGGGGTTCAACAGGAGACTCATTTTCCATTTTCCATGGCAAAGAATCTGAGCACTGGAATAAGGCAGAGGTATCATTTGCAGAATATTTTTGTAAAGACAGTTTAATTTCAAGCCCTTTATTTGTGAAAGAGCTGGCTAACCTAAATAAAACATTATACATCTGTCTGTTGTTACAAGTGACCAACTTCAGCTGAACATTATTACTTAATAACAGCTAACTTTCCTATAGAGTAAGAATGTGCAGCAGCTAAACAGCAAATGGAAATTTCCTTTGGTTTACCACCCTTGGTCTCTCCCTGCTCCAACATGTGAAGAAGTTGGGTAATAAGCATACTCTCCCCTCTAATCACAGCATGGCTTGGACATGCATTGTTGTGGGATGACTGGTAAAACAGGAAAATTTATGTCTTAGGGGGGAAAAAAAAACCCAAGGCAAATTGTGTTGCGTTAGCCTCCCTAGTGACACTGCCCCCGATTTTCTCTCCAGGGAAGAGATTTCTTTAACTAGCTCATGGACTCTCACTTACTATTCTTGTCTGTATCGGCTCAAATGCAACGGGGAGGAGGTGGCTCAGCATTGTCCCCTTCAGATTTTAGGTAAGGAGGAGAAGGAAATGGAGAGCATTTGGGTTTGTCTGACTGTAACCTGCTATAAATCAGAATGGAAGATATTGTCTTTGCAGATACTACTTGTAGAGAAACAACTATTTTATTTGGTATATTCTCTTTAATAAAACTCAAACTGAGCATAGTTGGAGCATTAAAAAAGGAAGGAAAAAGTAGGAGGCAAGCCAGGATGTTCCTTTTCTCTAACCTTCATATCCCTGCTTGAAAGGTGGCTTGAGAGCAGAGAGCACTGTGTTGTTACAATTATCATTACATAATTTGCAAAATTTCAAGTTGACCTTCCCCTTAATAAATCTCTCACTCATTAAGACATTGAATCCAACACCTTTAACCCTTCACGTCTTGCTTTGCCTCACAATTATATTTCCACTCTGTTAAAGGCAAAGAAATATAGGAAGAGTATCACAGTATAAATATACATACCGATTTCAGGCTGGGTTATTTTTCTGGCTGCAAGCTGACTACTTTTTCTTCTGTTTAGAATTAATTTGGAATTGCTGGTCTCTATCAACTGATGATTAATGGCCTCTGGTGTGATTCACCTGGACACAGAAGTGGCATTCTTGTCCTTGGTGATTTCCATGCTCATTATTATCATGACTGTAATCTCGTCCCAGACAGAAGAAATTAAGACTTTTGCTTGATTTGGAACCAGGTTATTTAACAATGGGACGAGTGTCAAAAGGTTTTGAAATTCAGCTTCACTGTCAGTCTAAACTTTGACCACATTTCTCTGATAGAGAAACTGGATATCACAGGACCTCAGGGGTATACAGTTTAAACCCAAATTCTTGGATTTGTGGTTAGTTTACTTGAAGGACTGGTCATACTTCTGAGTTGTCTGCTTGTCCTCAAGTTGAAAATATAGATGCTTATGATCACTAAGAAAATCTCAAACTTCAAAATCTCTTCCCATTCGGTCTGAGACCCTTGGTGGTTAATGAATCTCCATCAGTAAACAGTGTCAGGAGACACTTTCTAACCATCTATAGTTAATTAGCTGGAGGACCATCAGCCCAATTTTGGCACTTTTAGAGTTGCTAGGTTAAAATATGAGATTCCCAGTCAAAACTGAATTTCAAGTGGACAACCAATAATCTTCTAGTATAACTATGTCCCATGCAATGTTTGATATATACTTATTTATACTAAAAAGTATTCGTTGTTAATCTAAAATCCATATACATGTACTAGATAG